ATACCTTTTTAAATCTCTATGCAGAACAGATCATTTGGAGGCTGGACTTTATGAGGAAGGACATGACATCAGGATTGGAGAAAGATTCATCAAAGGCCTGTGTTGTGCTCATTGAAACTGAGGAGGATTGAAGTGTTGGCTGCAGAAGATCAATATGAAGATCAATCCTTCAATATGCATTGCATCTTAATATCAAGAAAACAAAAATCCTCACCACCAGAAAAATAGGCCGCATCACAATAGACGAAAAAGGATTTAATCTTACTCATATCTACAATCAACACCCTTGGCACCAGCACTTAAGAAATCAAAAGGTGAGTTGCACTGGGAAAATGGGCTGTCAAGGATCTCTCCAGAGTGCTAAAAAAGCAATGATGTCAGTCTAGAGACTAAGGTGTGCCTGGATCAGGCCATCATCTCCTTCTCAATTGCCTGCTATGCATCTGAGAGGTGGGCAATGCAAGGATGACAGAAAAAGAATCAATGCCTTTGAATTGTGGTGCTGGAGAAGAGCAGTGAAAAATACCATGGATTGTTAAAAGAACAAATAAATGTTTTGGAGAGGATGAAACCAGGTAGCTCTTTAGAGGCAAGGAGTTTGAAATTCTATCTCATATACTTGGGGCATATTGTCAGGAGAGGCCTGTCATTGGAAAAAGACATCATGCTTGGAAGAGCAGAAGGTCAGTGCAAGGGAGGAAAACCCTGGATGAAATAGACTGACATCATGATTGTGACAATGGGATCAGGTTTGTCAGAGACGGTTAGGTTGGCTCAAAGCTGTTGTTCACAGAGTTGCTATGAATCATAGTTGACTTGACAACACATAACAACTGACTGAGGGAGAAAGACCCGAATTCATATATCTATAGGAAGAGCTGAAACAAAGTTCAATTCCAGTTGAGTATTTAGGAGGGTGTCACTGAAGAGACAGATTTGAGCAGAGTGTGTGGGATTTCATAGGCTGAAATTAGGGGCAACATATTTTACAGAGAAGACATAGTATTAGGTTACTTTAGAGCTTGGCCAAGCAGCTCTGTGTACTATGTGGGAAGGCCCAGAGTGCATGGAATTGAGAAGGAGACAAGCCCAGGGAGCTCAGAGGAGACCTGGTGATTATCCTTCCACGGAGTTAGTCTATGAAATGGGAAATTGCTGCCTTTACAAGCTTTGTATTTCTGGTGTCTGCTCTCTCCTACCATCCTCAAAGCACTTGTGGGTCTGGACAGCTGTACAGGGAGTGGGATAACTCCACAGAATGCTTATTTCTGTTTGACTGAAACAACAACAACAAAAAACACCCCATCACCCCAAACCACAGTTATACTCTCTATTATAAAGCAATCTAGTGTCAGGGTCTATAATAACTATCTCCTGCCTCCCCGGGGCATGTGGGCAGCACTGGAATGTGCACAGAAAATTCCAGGGAGGGACCTTCATTTCTTTTTCTTTTTTGCTCTCCTGCAGTCTCCAGAGAACACAGCCGGATTTGGTTGCCATTGCAGCTGCGGCAAGGCCCTAGTTACAGCTCTTTAACAGTCTCTGGCGCCTTGCTGGATCCTCGTCTCGAGGTCCCAGATGAAGAAAACCCCATTAAAAGTTATCCTTTTATGGAATCTTGAATCATACTGAGCCTGTGCTGGCCTGTAAAATAACTTCGGGGTGGGTGGGGAGGAAGGGATCAGGAAAGCCTCCAATTTTCTCCATATTGCTTTAGCATTTCTTTGTGGTAGTTCTCTACAGTTTAATCTACTGCAAATGAGGTCTTAAAAATCAAGGGCCCCCATATGCTCAACACGGATGTTCAGATATCCCACCAGATGCCAGCCCTGAAACCATTTTACTCAGGACTAACATTTTTGTGGTCTGGCTGAAAACCTCAAGTGCTCTGGTTTCCCCTCACCAGGAGGAGAGTGCTAGCTACGTAGCAAATGGTAATTACCTCATGATTAATGTGATGCAGTGGGTTTAATTTGATGACCCATACATTATCTTGATTAGGTAAAAAAAAATTATTGACTTTATATGTCTCACAGGCACTTTTCAAGAGAGATCTCGCTTACATGGGCTTCCTGGTAGATCCAATGAGGGCTTGTGTGGGCCCTGGCCCAAAGAAAGATCAGTAGAACCATCAACGGTAAATAGTTTCCACAAAACACATTTACCTGTTCTAATAAAACAAACGTTGACCTGAGTCATTTGACATGTTGATGGGTACGCAATGTTAGTCCCACATTATTGTAGGCTGTCCCTCCACCCAGCACCTGGCTTCACAGTAAAAATGGGCCTGAGCAGAAGGAGTGTTCCACAACCATCTGCTCAGGATTTTCAATTTCACCTGCTTCATACACAGAGCTGAAAATGTTTAACGCAACTGTCTCAGGTCTAATTGGGAGGATCAGAGTCCTAGTCATTCTCTAAATCTCCAACAAGGTAATGTTATCTATTTAACCACCACCTAATTAATTTATGCTCACTCTATGCCAGAACACAAATTCTAAGTGCCCTTCCTGCACCAGTTCTAGATTCCTCACAGCACCCTTCTAAGATAGCTACTATTATTAGTCCCATTTTACAGGTGGGAAAATCAGGCAAAAGTAGGAAAAACAACGTGCTCCAGGTCTCACAGGTGGAGAATGGCAGAGCAGATTAATCCTGATTTAGGCTTAACACTTCTACCTGTGTTATCATGCTTTCTCTTACCTGCTGCTACGTGGCAGATAGTCTTGTGAGATGGGGCAAAGGGATAGATGTTAGATTCCTTTACAGTTTTCCTCTCAGTTCCCCTAAGACTTGTGATGTAGTACATGCAAGACTCTAAAAGCAATTTCTGAAGAAATAAATGGAGTGGATGGGAAGTGGGTTGATAAAGACTTACGGCAGAAATATTCACATTATAATTAAATGGATTGCCAGTGCTGTCTCTAAAAGCTGTGATGGATAGAAGCTTTGAAAGAAGAACCTGTGGGGTGGACAGAGCATTGTTTTGTAAACCTGCAGGAAGAGAAGTTGTCTTCCCTATTGTATGACTTTCCTCACCTCTAATGGACAGCTGTGGACACAGGGTTAGTGGCTATTTCCAAGGAAGTAGACTAGACTACATGCTTTTGTGTCCACTCCAACATGCCAACTGGGTTGAAGAGATGGTATCAAATGATCTTATTTTCTGAGAAGTCTCTTGCCCTTTATTCTCCTTTTGCTATGTGTCTCTGAGTATCTGCACTCCAGTTCCTTTAAGGACTAAAAGTGGTGAAGGAAAAGGCTTCCCCCCACCTTCTTCTCCCCAGAAGGCTGTAAAGTTCCGTTGGGTTTCCCCAGAGCACTCTTCCACAGCTATAACCCAAAGTGGATTGTCACCTGAATACTTCCCCAAGCCTGGGCAGGAGAGAGCTGAATGAGAGATTGCTAAGAAGATTCTGGTCAAGTTGGGGAGTGCATCTCCTTTTAGAGAGTGTTGTGAATTAGATCCATTTCTGCACCCTGCTGTTGCAATGGAGCAGACTGTGAAAGAGAAGATTCTCAGAGGAGCTGTGTTTTAATGTAGCAATTTGATTCAATTTTCCACTCTATAAAATTACCCATCACTGCTCGTTGCTTTCTAACAGACACCTTCACTCTTAATTTAACAATCCTATCGAATTCTGCCAGGGAAATTGGAAAAATTTATCACCTGTGAAATTTTATTTTCCTTTGGTTGTATCTGTTTTTGTAAAACTTCATTAACGACGATGACTTGCTGAGGAAATTATCATTTTTTTTTAACTTTAGACACAAGAAATGGCTCGACCTCAACCAAGATATCATTTACATAATAAAACACAACAAAAAGACTGAGGAAGTCAGGACTGGCAGAGGCTTAAGTGCCAAGAGAAAAAGCAGGCTATCCTTGAGGTGGTTGGGTGGGTGGTAGCTGGAGGCCCAGCAGGGAAAGAGATGTGTGGACACCAGAAGGAGCCCTAATCCTTGATTCAAGATGCAATGATGTGTCATATCCTCTAGGGAAGAGTAGAAGTGCACCTTTTAGAAGGTTAGATCCTCTCTTTAGGAAGTCTTGAAGTGCCAGTTCCTTCCTGACTATGTTATTTAGCAACCAGCCCTGTCTTCAGGGGTTTGAGTGCTGGATTCACCTTAGTTTCTAAGTTCATTTGGGATTGAGGTTTAAATTGCCATAAATTTAGGCTTAACTTGAATTTCTCAGCAGAGCACTGAACTTCTGGCAAATTTCCACAGGAATGATCTTTCTGAATGGACTTGAAGATTCAGCATTCCTGTGGTCTAAACTACCTTACAATTAAAAGTCTCAGGCTTTGGTTTTCCACTGTCTGATCCCCACTGTGCTTTGCACCATTCACCAGCTGCTGTTATCCCACAAGGAGTGGCTATGAAGAAGAACTGATGGCTATACGTTTTTTTGAGATACCATTTATTATGCTTCTGGAAAAAAATCATTCAAGTAGATCTACTGTTGTGGTGGGCAGAGAAAATATGTGAGACTCATTTTTCAGAGATGTGATTTCATTTTTGGGATATCTCAAAAGGTAATAACAAACTGTGCTTTGCCAGAGCTTTACTGTATTATTGAAAAGGCTATCAGGGTTTATGTATATTCCTACAGACTTTTGATATCTTTAATAACCTGAGATCAACTGCCCATTATTCTTACAATTATACAAACAGGAAGTTAAAACTAGAGACTTTGGATGGCTCATTCCAAACTCATGAAGATCATCAATAAGACTTTTTAACCATGTCCATATAATGTAAACTATTACAGGGCAGAGATGAAACATATCCATTAATCACATTCACCCAGCTCCTAGAGCCAGGAAGAGCTTCTGTGCAGGGAGTCACAGGGAGTCACCTGAAGCTTTCCTATATTCTTTCCTTCAGAAGGTGACAGTTAGTTTTGGCTTACTTTGAGGCTTTCAAAGTTACATTGTTCCATCAGGTCAAGAGTTTCTGAAAATAGCAGAAGACAATTAGAAGATGAGATTTCTCACCTGGCAAGACTTCATAAATATCTTCTTCCCGTTTCTCCTCGGAAGCCTCTTTTATTCCCATATTCCCAGGTAAAAGAATAGGTCTGCGTTGTGAACCAGAATTTGGGGTGCCCAAACCATCAATATCATCATACATTTCTTCTTCCTGCTCTTCTTCTTCTTCCTCATCTTCATATGGAATCGTTAAGGAACTCAGATCTGCCAAGGCAAAGATAAGAATGAACCAAAAGCAGATATAAAGCAAAGAAAAAGGCAGGAAAGGCAAGAGGGAGAAGCAGGAGGAGGGATGAGAATAAAGCATGTCAAAAGAAAATGAAATACTAGGTTAAGTGCTGTTATTTCTAATGTGGGCCTTGGTGGCAAGAAATCTACAGAAAAGGCCAGACTAGCACTGTGTTAGGTTTAAACCATCAACATAAATCCTTGCTTGCAATAAAACTTGATCAGGATGAAGCAGCTCTGAAAAGTATGCGTATGTGAATGAGAACGAGAGGTGAAGGGGGGAAATTAGGCCAGAAAAGGAAATGCCAACGTGCCATGCACTGCTCGTCAAGTAGAAAACTGGGAGAGAGAGTGATAGCCTGTAGGTCTCCAGGGTGCAGAGCAGGGGGAAGCATGGTGACTCTGGTAGGTATCTGAACTGTCAGAAGCCCATTTCCTCAATGGTCTCATCCCAGAGTTTCACACAAATTTGTTTGTAAGGAGAGAACTGGGCAAAAGTAGAAGAAGGTAAGAAAGTGAAGAAAAACAGAACTGTAATACAAAACAAAATAGAAAGGCTGAATGAGGTAGTTACAATGTCTTTTTGCAACTATACAGTGTGGCTGACCTTAAAGTGGGTCACTGCATAGAGGATGTTAAGCCATAACAGCACTGGGGAGCACCAAGGAAGAGGAGGGAGATTGGTTTTCTGTTTTAATGGGGAACTGGGAAGGTTCATCCTCTGATGTGCAGTACAGAGTGCTCTCTGAAACCCTGCAGAGGGGCCTCCGCAGGATGGGCGAGTATAGTCAGCATACTCTGGGGAAAGAAAGGATATAGAGACATCCAATGCTCATTTCAAAATACAATAAAACTGTTTGACTTGATTAGGCTTTTAATAAAGATTTTGCAACAATTTTCATCTGAATACTGATGTCACCTCATATAAGGCAAGGATCAGAGATACATTGGTGGCTTAAACCATATGTTATTATTTTGTTTGTTTAAAAATAAAAAGAAATGAATAATTTCTTCAATGCAGGATTCTGAAAGTACCACAGGGTACAGCTCAATAAAGCTGCTTTGAGTTTTATTGAGGTTTACACACTTAGGGGTATATTACACGCATAAATCCAAGGCACCTAGATGAGAGTGTACCCTGTAGTCTTGCCATCAATGTTCATGTTTGCCTAGCTTTAGTCCATTATATGTGATGCTCTTGGTAAATGCAATAGTTTGTTTTTGTGATAGCAAAACATTATTGAGTAAAATAGGCAATTCTTGTAATTAAAGCTGTGGAGCTCTTTTTTCACTTTTTATCTATATAAAAGTAAAATCTTACAACAAAACAGAAAACCGAGTTCAAGAGGTTTGGTGTTCTTAGGATGACATCTTCTCTTTAGGTCTTGAGTTATGTAAAAAATTATGTTTCCACCTTTCTGCGGAGGCAGGGTTCTGTCAGAATGGAATATGAGTGACAGATGCAAGGTTGTCAACTTTTCCCTGGCCACACTATTCCTAGACAATGCTTCTTTGGCCATGGCCACTGCTGTGCCTGCAGACTGGCCAGCAGAGGGTACTCTAAGAGCAGTCATTCAACATCATCAGGTAAGACTTTTCCCACCTACATCAAAGCAAGGAACATTTTCTTGTGGCTGGAAAGTAGCAGTTTTTATTTAATATCCAATGTCCATGAAGGCCACCAAAATTGCTTATCTTTCTATCAAGACTATAACAAGACAATTTTGGACCTAACTTACAGATGGATGACTTAAAATATAAGGAATTTCCTTTCCAGAATACAAGGGGTTAATAGACACTGAATTAGACTCAGCTGGTTTCCAGAATATTATATTTTAGTGATTACAGATATTACAGTCTTGCCTGTAGGTAGGTGGATGAGCTGGAATTATATCAGAGGTCATCTGCAGGTTGATGATTTTTTTTTTTACCTTCTGATTCATACATGCTATTATTCATTGTTATAATATGGGAGATGTCGTGGGGAAGTTGGAAGAAAGAAACGGCACAAAAAAAATCAAAGCTTGTATATGATATTTGTGCAACATAATTTTCAACTACAAATTTACTCAAGAATTTTTTCTTATGATAATATTTACCCTTTAGCAAGAAGCTTATTTGATCCACCCAGTCTCTGGCTTCAGCTGGATTAGAAGCTGTAAACTAGAGAAACATTAGCAAGTTAATTTATTATTGTCACTAATATTTCTATGAATACTGACAAGTGTAAGGAGAAGATGTGGGTTGAGTTTCAGAACAAAATTTAAAATTCAGAGTTCTCTGCCAGCTTAATGTTTAGAAAAAGTCTAAACATGTTTCCTTTAAAGAATTTTTTCTTCAGCAATTTTGTACATTTAGAGATGACAACTATTTGAGTTGTATTATGTCTAAACAATCATGTCTATATGCACTCATTCATTTGATTATCCATTCATTCATTAGCATGTATTTTGAGAAAGGTTTATAGAAACAACAAAACCAAACTAAAGTTACCAGATTCAAAGAATAATACATCAGTTGTGCAAATTACATACATATATAAAAATGGGAACATGACAAAGTAGGCACATTTGATAACAATGAATGGTGATAGGATGCAGGAACACTTCTGCCTGGAGTAAGTCAAAGGATTTTGAAGTAATAGTGATCTGGTTGGATTGAAAAGAGCTGGTGGAAACTGACCAAGGGAGGTAGTTGAGTATTTCAGGTAGGGACAACCACGTACAAAGGAATAGGCAATAAAACATCATGCATGGAGAAGGTAGGTAGATTTGCTTGACTAGAGAATAACAGATAAAGCTAGGGAGTTGAGGGTCAGAAAAGAGTTTATAGAAGGGTTCTAAGTAGTGGGAGTTCAGATTAAAAATGTAGACAACAGCAAGCTACTGTAAATTTTAGTGAAAGGAGTAGGGGCTATGTCAAGAGTCATGTATAGAAGAGCTTGGAACAGAAAGAAATTGGAGACAGAAGGCTGTTTAAATAGTCTTCTGGGTGAAGTGATACTTAACTATTGTGATAGCTGTGGGGATAAATAAGACAAGAAAGATCCAAACGATATTGCAGGGGAAGAATCTATAGACCATGGTAATGATTTGGATTCAATGGGCCAAAGAAAAGGAGAAGTAAACAAACTCTACATTTTGATTCACAAAACAAGCTAGTCAAGCATCAAATATTAGTTATTCTTTTATTTTAAATGAATTAACTTAAAATAACTGTTATTAAAAAGAATTCTAATCATCTGGTCATCAGGACAAGAGAAAGAGACTTTCTGTATAAGAAATGTAGCTACCTGCTTAATAATTATTAATATACATCATTATTCTTCATTGATAAAAAAAACCACATTTCTATTAAAAATTCTAAGAAAATTAGTTTAGGGTAAGCTGTGCAACTTGCTATGGGCAATATCATCCTAAAATTTTATCATCCTAAAAAATTTAGGAAAGTTAAAGTTTTTATCTGAATGAAGCACAATCAGGATTTAATAATAAAAATAACTTAGCAACATGATCAATACTGATATCTATATTGTGTATATCTATAATGGAATCCAGAAAAGTGAAAAAAAAATTGCTTAAGGAAGACCTAGGTCACCTTATTAAAATAAAGATAAGATACTGTAGAAACATGCAAATGTGAATACAGAGAAAAATTTGAAGAGTCAAAGGTGCTGAGAAAAATCTGTAGAGTCTAAAGGGCTATTTGCATGATTACTATTAATTAATTTTTGCATGGTTTTAATAGGAAGGAAAGAATATATATGTATGTATACACACACATGCATATATAAACATATTTTTGGTGAAAATTAATTTATTCATATAGCCAGAGATTCTTATTGTTTTAAAGTCTTTAAAAATAGGTATAAATCCATGAGGTGACAATACAAAATGCATAGCGCGGAATGCAATGAAGAATAGGTATTTCCTCTTTCTTTCTCCTCCCTCTAGTCCCTCAATTAATATCATTACTCCTCAGTAACTACTGTCATCAATATCTCAGAAATTCTTTCAGATTTATGCAATGCATCTATACATAAATAGATAAAAGAAAGTTATTTTGGATGACAAGGTGAACATGAGAAAATGAATAATTTTATAGTCTACAGCTAAATTTTTCTTTTTCTGGATTTCATGGAAAGATGATTAGTTGAAAAAGAGAATGAGAATAAAAGCCATGGAATTAGAGATGCTGAATAAGAAACTAGATTGTGTGCTGTAACAGGCAGCATGTTCACCTATGGGGTAAGACTCCAAAGGGGAGGGAGAAAAAGATGGAAGCTAAGTAAAGTCAGTATCTAGAATGACAGTGGCAACAGACAGGAGAAGAAAGGCATGTCTCAGCAAAGGAGAGGACCTGCCAGGCAAGAGGTTCTTCACTGGTAGGAAATGAGCAGGTAACAAAGAAAGGATGGAACCCAGCATAGCAACCATAGCTCACATGCAACACTAATGAGAATCACCATCTCCTCAGTTCATCCTACCTCATAGCTGCGCTTATCTTGTGAGGTCAGTTCAAAGCAGGATTCTTTCTTGGAATCTCTTCGCAGGTGGGGGGCCATCCGTACACTGTAGTCCTTAATGAGAAAGGTCCCTTTGGGCTGCTTGCCTGCAAGACAGGAAAACTCCCTGTATCCCTAGAGAGATGCAACTGCTAAGGGAAGGCATCTTCTCTGGTATGTAAAATAAAAGCACAGAAACAGCTGTTACATCCCTGAGGAACCACAATAGTCAAGGAAAGGTTATTAGGGAGGCTTAAGAAGAGGCTACTATGACAGCAAGGCAGATATCACTGCCAAGCTAGGGAAATGCAACATGAAAGGTTATTCTGCCAAAAGAGTACAACAGAGACAGAGAATTTATTAGAATGTTAAGAGATCTATAATAACAGAAAGAAGGAATTATTACAGCCAGGAGAGCATAGCTGTAAACGTGAGGCTCTTGAAAGCTATTACAGAGCCGAGGCATTATTATCAGGGCCAGCAGAGCTCCCATTTGAGGGGCGGGACAGCACTGTGAGGGGACCTGAAAGTTCCTGGGATCTCCTCCTTCGCCCCCAGATGGCATTTAGGCTAAACGGCTTCCCCTCCCTTGCAAGTCAGGTGAGAATTTATGCTAGAGGGAGTATAATTTAAAATGCATTATTTTATCTTCTTTTAAGAGGTCAAATTGGGAAGTAGCAGAGTGCTGTTGAGTGTCCTCACATGACAAGGACAAAGATGAAATGAAAATAGACTTTAACTGAAGGAAAGGAGAAAATTCGATGCTATTATTCTTTTAAAAAAGAATAAACATGAGAAATATGAAAAGGGGAGGTGGTTCTCAAGGATTTGGGGTCATCATCATTGTATGATTTAGGCAACAGAATTAATAAGGAAGAGGAACGACAATGTCCGGGTGGTAACTCTGTGCTCTTTATCATGTAGAACAGATTGCTTAAAAAGTGCTTTTTGGCGGTGATAATGAGGATGGCTGGCAGTTGGGTAAATATCTTTGAAAAAAGGGAAAAGGAAAAAGAAAAACATTCTGCGTTTACCTGGTTGAGTGGAAAGAAATACACAAACACTCTATACCTAGTAAGGAAATGTCCTGGGCACAATAAGAAGTAACTGGCAAGAAGGGAGCCATGCAACAGTGCTTTTTGACACCAGAATCTTTTTTGTTAAAGTATCTCTCCTTGTTCTAACTGGCCACTAAAGTGTTTTGTTGTTTCTTTGGTCACCAGATTTTATTTCACCTTGACAGCAAAATGGTCAATAAAAGTCCCCAAGTCTCTTGCTCTTGCGCTCTCTCTCCCTCTCACTGTGAGTAAATGATTCTGAATGAACAGATGTGGTATCTGGTTTTATATATCCAGATACACCTACTACTTATTGAAATGCAAGGGAAATGATGAATATTTTTACAATAACATGAGAATCATATTAATTTAAAATAAAAAATGCAAATCACTTGGCTTTCTTGCATGTCTACTCAGAAAAACTGCGGTTGCTCGATTTTAAAGTGGGCTAGGGGAACATAGGAGACTTGTTACTTAGTTTTAGTTTTTAGTATTATTCTGCTATAATTTCCAAGTAGGGTTCTTCATTCTAAGCTAAGTGGGAAAAGCTCTTGAGGAATCTAAGATGGTGAATCTTGATGAAAGGCTCTGATACCAGTTGTAGGCAGAGAGGTAACTCATTCAAACTTATTGCTGTTGACCTGGAACTGACTCGCAGTTGACCCTCCAGCCTCCTACAGAGACTGTAAATTGCATGGGGAAGAAACTGCCCATTTTTCTCCCTCAGAGCTGCTGGTAAATTTGAACTGCCAGAGTGGTGTGGCCACTGTGCAACTTCCTCCAGACCATGCCACCAGAGTTCCCTAGGAAGAGAATTAGGGGAAGACAATTGCCACAGAGCTGTAAGGCAGTTTTAAAGAATGCCAAGTCACGTAGCAAAGCTGCAGTTCTTCTGTTTTAGTGCCAGGAAATTCAAAGGCAACTGGGTAGATATCTGACTAAAAGGCTTCTTGACAAGCACTGGAAGATTATGAAGTTTGAGGAACAAGAATGGGGGAGAAAGGAACAGAAAATGATTGGAAACAAAAGGTTCCTCTCTGGATCATTGGCCTCTGTGTGAAAATGTCAGAGTAAGCAAAAAGTCCCACAAGAACTTATGCTCTAATTTGGTTTGCTTCTTAGAATTACTCATGGGGCAGTCCAATTTCTGCAGAAGGGTATCGCCTATTTGAAACTTTGCATCCTTGTACAATGATAATTCTAGTTTGTATTTATACATAGCTATTGCTAACTTATATCCTCTATTTTCACAACTAAGCAACTGCATTAAACTTGGATGGGAGGCCTTCTAAGGATAGCTTTATGACACTTATGGTGTTGTGCCTGACTGAGTCAGTCGTAGCTCATTAAGAAGCTGCCTCTGGCCTGAGTCAACACTTTGCTGCTGCTGCTGCTGCCATCTGGCTGAAGGGTGTCTCCGGGGCACAACAGCCATTTGGGTCTCAACATTCCAAGGCTCTAGGGAAATCCATTGGATTACTTCCCAGTCAGTAGTCAGTAGGGTAACATTCAAAGCAAGTGCTTAGGGAGTCTGGACCATAGTGGTCTATTTCTGGACTATTATTCAGTTGTTTAAATATTTCTCAGAGTTGTAGGGGATTTCCCCTAAAAATGTTATTAATGATTATAAAGAGTTTTGATTCTCTTTCATTTAAAATTTGATAACATTATTAGTTATACAAAAGATAAGTCTTTGATATCTAACCACACTATCTTAAGTTTTATTAGAGAGAGACTTTTAAAATTGACGTCTAAATTTTTGGGGATGAGAAAGTATTTACTTACCCATTCTCGCTTCTTTGCCAAGCATGTCTGTTTATGGGTGTTAGTTAAAGACCTTGAGATCTAAGTGCTTGAAATTTACGAAGTGCTTGCGTCAGGAGTGAGATGCTGCTGTTCAAATGAAGAACACTTACTTTTCTCATTAGCATAGTAGTAGAAGAAGCCTCTGCTGACAACACACCATCGCTTCTGCCACTCTGATCCAAAGAAACTATGATCTAAATGGAACAGCAGTCAGGGACATAAATTCAGGTAACTACAATAACTGAAGAGTCCGTAAAATCCAACAACATACTGTCCAGCCTGTTACTGTTTTATTTCCCAAATTAATGGACTGTAAAACCCTCCCTTTGACTCCCACAGGTTATTCCATATTGACTCTGTGTCCAGAGAACTCACCCAGTTAAAAGTTCAAATTCTAAAGAGGATTGCCTGATCTCTCATAGTGTTCTCTCTAGTTAGCATTCAGGTTTGAATTTCACCTGGTATTTTCCAGATTCTCCATGTACATTAAAAAATTTCTTTTTATGTCCGAGAGGTAATGAGACAACATTATAACAATTTTAAGGGTGGCACATGTCATACAAAAGCATGAACACCCACTCATCATGCTCAGGAACCAGAAAAGAATCACCTTTATTTTTTAAAATTGTGATCTGAGTGGAAGTTTACAAAGTAAATTGGTTTTCTAGTCAACCACCGATACATATTTTGTTATTAATGATAATACTCACATTATAGCTGTATTATGCCACTTCTCCCTATGCTTCTCATTTCCATGAATCCTTTATCCAACCCTTCCTGCCTAATGAACTTTATCTCTGGGTAGCTGCTGCCCTTTAAATGCTACAGGGCTAATTTTTCTAAGATGTAAGGCCCTATCTGGTGTAATGCTCACTTTGTAGGCTTGTCTGTTGTTTGGATGAGAGTTGAGCCACAGGAATGAGTTTAGTTGTAGTTTCAAACTCTGGGGAAATCCTAGGACCAGCAAATCATTCCCTCAGTGTTTCACTGTGATCAATATGTATACATAATTTTGCCTCCTATTAGCTTTATTATATACATGGATATATTTATAGTATATACAAATAAGAAGGTAAAAATACTGTCTGCCAAACTCAGGTATAGCCATGGTGTAGTCCCTTTCATCTGTCTGTATATGATCACTTTGCCTGTCTGTCCATGCATCCAGTTGTAGATTGTTTGTTTACGTGGATCATGCAGGACTGTGTATGTAATGATGTTTACTTTTGTTGTATGTTGGGTGTACCTCTTCATATCTTTCTTTAGTAATATTGTGCTGATAGCTGTCTTATTGTATGCTGCTTCCCCCTTTATCTAATTTATTATATATCTATGCCTAATTACTGATTGTTCCTCTCCTTCTCCTTTCCTTCCATTCCTGATAGCCATCAATGTTCCTTTTTGTCTGGAAACTTTTGCTTAGCTTTTTATAATTTGTTGCTATTGTGGCCATCAAGTTGGAAGTGAACCAAAGCTGACCCTTCAGCAGGTTTTTGGAGGTAGTAAATCACCCAGGAGGAGATTTCCCAGGCTTCTCCTGCATTCTATAATGTAGTTCATACAATATTGGTTTTTTAAAAAAAATATTTGTTCTTTTGTGACTAACTTATTTAACTCATGTGAAATAAAAATAATCCAGAAGATTCGTGACCTCTGGGTTCAGACATGTTATATGATGTTTCATAAGTTCTTCATTATCCTTTACTGTTGCATAATATCCTATTGTATTTAGTTTATTTATAGCTTATTTATTAATTCATCCATTGATGGGCACTTACTTTGTTTCCATGTCTTTGCAATTATAAATGATGATACCACAGTGAACATGGGTTGCATATATCTGTTCGTGTATATGACATCTTGTTTTGGCAAATAAAAATGATGCTCAAGGTCAGGGCTGTGAAAAAGGCTACCTTTGTGTTAAGTCAATTTACTTGTCAGTGTAAAATCTGGGACTCCAATTCTAATCAACTGAGTTAAGGGTCTGTATCTGGGCTTATTTGAAATTTCAAAGTAGGCTGCTTATATATGAGATAAAAATTATACTCTTGGAAAAATATCTCAGTCTTCATAGAAATATACTGGGAGACAAGGCAAAAATATCATCATTCATTCAACAATTATTTATTAAATACCTAATGTATGTTGAGCTGTGGTGTTGGAGAAGAGTATTTAATATATTATGGACTGCTAAGAAAATGATTAAGTTCGTCTTGGAGAGAGGTAAAGCAGGCTGCTCCTTGGAGGCAAGGATTCTGAAGATTCGTCTCACATATTTTGAACATATTGCAAGGAGGGGCCAGTCCTTGGAGAGGGAAGTCATGCTTGGGAGGGTGGAGGGACAGTGTAGGAAAGAAAGATCCTCTTTGAGATGGACTGATTCAGTGACTGGGGAAATGGGGGTAGGTGTGTCGGAGACAGTGAGATTGGCACAGGATAGAGCAATTCAGGAATGTTGTACATAGGGTTGCTATGAGTTGTAGGCGACATGACGACATATAACAACAATGTATGTTACCCATCATGATGAATGGGGAAAGAGATTGAAACTGTTAACAACTTTGTCTTGCTTGGATCCACAATTAACATCCTTGGTACCAGCAGTCAGGAAATAAGGAGATGCACTGCACTGGGAAAAGCTGCAGTTAGGGACCTCTTCATATTATTGAGGAGTAATGATGTCAGTTTGACGACTAAGGTGTGTCTGATTCAGGTCATGGTCTTTCCCATCACTTCCTATGCATCTGAGAGTTGGTCAGTGAATAAGGCAGACAGAAGAATTGATGCCTTTGAGCTATGGTGCTGGAGAATAGGAAGGAACATCCCATGGATGGCCAAAAGAACAAACAGATATCTCTTGGAGAGGGTACAGCCAGAGTGCTCTTTGGAGGCAAGAATGGTGAGGCTTTGCCTCACCTACTTTGGGTACATTGCACTGGGCTCTTGTGTGTCAGGAAGTGTGAGGATGGCACAGTGTTCAGATCTTTTGTTCCTAGGGTCACCATGAGTTGTACTCCACTTGATGGCTCCTAACAACAACAACAATGTATGCCAAGCACTGGTGGTGAGCAAGGCAGAGCCAGTCTCTGAGCTGAGGAAGTTATCAATCTGGCTGCATGCTGAAGATCTTGTACCATTTCTCTTTAGCCTATTTACAAATATCATACTTTTCTTTCTTTAGATTTTGCCTTATACCTTCTTACCACAGTGCTAAACAGAGAAAGCACTGGATAGGTTACTCCTCTTTCTCCTTATTTCCCTTTCCTTCCTGGAATGTTCTGAGATACGAGTCTAATCTGTACCTTTGCTTTTTTTCTCCAAGTATCCTTGCTTGATGATATTGTCAAGTTCTTGAGCTCCTCTTAGTATGTCTTCCATTCCTAAAAGAAACAAAAGCAAATGCTTGTTGAAATCTGGCAAAACTTTCATCTATTAAGGCTACTTTAATGTACATTAGTGAAGGTGTACAAGAATAACTGTGTAAATACAACATAATCTCTATATGATTGGAAAACATAACTATTTCTTCCTAACTACATGTAATGATAAAATTGTTAAAAATTAAGTAAACATACATAAATGTGGTGTGGCAAGGTAGTTAGTTTAAATATGTACTGATTGGCAAGAAAAGGATGCTAGCAAATAAAGAATTTGTTGCGGATATAAACTCCAAATTGGATAATTCACATTCAAATACTCAAAACGCGAATAGCTACCAAAGCAGACAAACTTTAATGAATGACAGATTCACAATAAACACAGTCACCTCAGAGGGCGCTGTAAACACATGAACTTTTTTTTTAAAAAGCAACCCCCTAAAAAAAAGACACCTTTTACAAACAAATTTATTAAGTTTATACAAAGTTGAACTTGATAGTAATTGCCAGTCTTAGTCTGTTCAATGTGGGAAAGAGTCTAAGAATGGGACGTGTCTTTCTTTACAAAGAGAAGAACCAGGAACTGACATTGGCCTTTGATTGTAAGCTGCCAACAACATTCCTGGCTTTTAGTTAGTTTCATTACCTACAATTTTACTGAGAAGTCAAGCTCCTCATCCATCTTGTCTCAGATGATATTCATTTTACAGATGGGAGGGACAAAGGACTGAAGAAGGAGTTTACTCTTCAGAAAAGAAAATTTAACAATAATCAAAAACCCCAAAACTCTATCAAAGGTATAATTTCACATTTTTTTAATTAGGGAAAGTAAAGGGAATAAGCTAGCAGAATCTTTATATTTCTGGCTTTTTGTGCTCAAATTCTATCTCCTTTTGTCTGAAAAATTTTAGAAAATAAAACAAATTAAAGTATAATAGTATATGAGTCAACTGGGTCATTCAGACAGTATTAGGAGTATTTGCAGTGAACATAAAGTTTTAACTGTTTATTGAACACTTCATAAAAGAAAAGAATTATAATTTATTTAGGGCTGACTGTGGTAGGCATTTTGGTCAGTGCTCACCACCTACCCCTTGTTTAAAAGAAATATTCAACACAACTTAAAAGGCAGCTAAAATTACTTTTTTGCTTCTAAGTTGCTTCAACTGAACTTTAAAAATGTACATCAAAAGGCCTTCTCTTTATTTTTTTAGCATGTCTATGTGCCTGATTCTTTATCCAATTTATCCTCATACCATTAACTTCCTTGTTCATGGACCATTCTTATTTGTGTGTTTTACAGTTGCAAACACTGTGGGTACCATAAATCCTTCTAGATGGGTCTCTGGGTGCACACACAAGTTGAATAGCAAAGAGAATTAATTTTTTCTAGGACTCTTTCTAACATCTCTTAGAAAATACTAATATTCTTTTGAAAACATCTTCCAAGAAAACAAGATCAGATTTTGCTGAAGGGATTTGAGGATGGACTGAGGAGCTGGTATGACTAGAAGGCTGGTCCTTTGGAAGAGAACCCATTCTTTTTGATGTTATGTACCATCAAGTTGGAATTGATTTATAGCTGCCCTTCTACTGGGTTTTCAGAGGCAGTAAACCGCACAGAAGTAGTCTGTCCATTTTTCTCCCATGGAGCAGCTAGTGGATTAGAACTCATGCTCTCTGAATCTGTGTAAAAAACCTGCTTTTAGAGGCCTAAAATGAAGTGAAAATTACAGGGGATAAAGAAGAGAAAACAGAATGCTCTAAGGAAAATAGAATGGGGTTTCCATTTTTTCTATCCTGCTTTCCTTTTTTTCTTTTTCTGTTGTTAAGGTCTCATTAAACTTAAGAGAGAATGAATGGCTTCTTGTTAAAGATGCCAAGAATCGGAATCATAAAAGACATGTTAAACATTTTATTAGAATTCAAACCTCCTTTTTTAATGCAAATCTAAATGCCATTTTATGGAACATCTATAATTATGAAAATGGGAAGACATTGCCTTGTGTGCAGGGAGAGTCTGTGAGTATGAATATTACATTAATGTGCCCACACCAGCTCACTGATCCTGCTGGCAGGAGCATAAAAAATGCTTGAGTGAAACTTTTATTTAGATGTTAAGACTTCAGGCCCCAGCGGGGTGACAGAGACAGCCCCTGTGAGTTACCATCAGAGAGAGAGCTTGAATTGAATTACCCAGGGGGGAAGGAAGTAGTGATGAGCACTGCTTCGCTTATTTAATTTCATTTACTTTCAGTACATTATCAGCGTGAGGCTTTTTCTCCCCACCAACTGAAACCCAAGAATGCCACCACCAAGAAAACAAAGACAATGCAGCAGAGATACTGGCACTCCAGTTCCTAATTCCAGGAGACTAGGGACAGCACCATCACAACCTTCTTGCCTTTAGAGCCAAACTTGGTTTGTTAAATTAAGCTCTGAATGAATTGCTGAATTTTGCCTCTTGTTTGTTCACCAATAGGATTCTGACGAATAGATAGCTGGAGATAGGTTTTTAATAGGCTGGGTTTTTGTATGTAGTCAGTGAGATGTGTGATTTTGCTTTCTTACTCACTACAGGAAATCTGTACTGATGCACTCAACTCTCTTCCCTGGTTTCTCTTATAGAAGTGGGACAATGGAATTGAAGGTAAGGTTGTGCTTTGAAAAATCAAATCAATTTCTTTCTCTTGGTTGCCTATAATGGACAAGGCACTGTTTGGTAAGTACAATAACAGAATGATTGTCAATGTAGGGTTGACTCTGAGCTCAGTCTCATCAGTTTGAGCCTTCAAATAAATTTTTCCACCTTGGAAGCCACTTTTAAATCAACTTATTTTCTCTTTCAGTAAAAGCTCAAGGAAGGTCCTAATGATAAACTCAAGGTCCTGCTGGTTCTGAGAACGCATAACATAAACTACATTGTAGGGTGACGAGGCAGGAGGTGTCTGTATGCCTGAATTCACAATTACTGGCAAACGAATAAATTTGCAGAAAGCTACTTAGCCATTAATAGAAAGTATATAAATGCTTTGCAGGATGATAATAACAATGGGATGAATTCACAGACTTGTAAAACTTGCTATTTTAAGTCAAAATCATTTATATTTAAGTATACAATTAAAAAAAGATTGAGGCTTTTTCTCTATTTCTTGAAAAAAAGATATTATCACCATAATGAAAAAAAGGAATGATTTAGGTTTATTAGAAATAAATGGCCTTCTTGGATAAACCCAAGGGTATATCACATTATATCAGCACAAAACAGAATTACATTGGTGTCATAATCTCTCTCTATCACTACACTTAACTAAATCTCTCAGAAAAACCAATGTAAAGAAAAGATTCTCTTAACTGAAGGATGTGGAACTATAAAAATAAGATCAATGGAAGTTTGTTTGTCAGAACTGATGGCCACTCAACTTCCATGGCCTATGAAGATGAAGACATTTTCAATCATTTCTCTTCTCATGCAGACTCTTTAAGTCCTTGCACCCCACCCAAATCCAACTTTGCCACAAAAAATGACAGAATAGGATTCCATCTCTCAGTGCTAAACATGACTCCCCAGTCAGCTATGCACAGCAATAACAATGGGGACCCTTTGGAGTGTGATACATTTCCATAAAGCAGTCAATAAAAAAGACACAGGAGCTTATGTGAGTCACGGCCTATTTAACCAGCTGTGTTCTAGCCCACTGAAGAAAGAGAATTGGAGAAATCAGTTGGCAACACCACACACAAGGCTAATAATAATAATACAGGAGGCCCGTTTCCATTGCTAAAAGGGCATCACTACCTGCAGCCACTGCAGTATAACCAGGTCCCACTAACCTTCATTACAGTCAGTTGACGAGGTCTCTTGTTAAATCAATCTGAAAAGAAAATCAATGATTTTTAAAACACAGCTTTTGTTCAACTTGTTTCTACATTAAATTGTAGACTTCATTCATCTTCCTCCTTTCTTTGAAGCCAAGTTTTTAAACTTATTTATTTACTTTTAATTTGTGGTGTGCCACCGAATCGGATCTGAATAGCTCAAGAGGAGATTGCCCCTCCTTCTCCAGCGGAGCATATGGAGGATTCGAACTGTGCACTTTCAGGATTGCAGCGCAGGAAGCTAAGTTAAAAAAAATTTTGTTTAAAAAGGTGAAAGATCACTTCTAGTTTAGAAACTGACAGCTACAGCGGTAAATTACAGGCAGGGTGAAGACTTCTGCTGTTAGGTTCTGTTGAGTTGGTTTCAACTTATAACAACTTTATATAAACAGAATGAAACACTGCCTTGTCCTGCACCATCCTCACAAATGCTGCTATGTTTGAGCCCACTGTTGCAGCCACTGTGTCACTCTATCTTGTTGAGCGTCTTCCTTCTTTATTAAAATACTCATGCTAAAGAACCTGAGGTGTGAGTGCATGAAGCTGGAGAAGAGAAATTTGAAGGCTGCTGCTGTTGTTGTTAGTTAGGTGAGTTGAGTATGACTCACAGTGACCCTATGAACAACAGATCTGAACCCTGTCCTACCCTGCACCATCTTCATCATCTCTGACACACTTGAGCCCACTGCTACAGTCACTGTGTCAATCCATCTCACTGAGGGTCATCCCCTCTTTTGCTGACCCATTACTTTTCCAAACATGATGTCCCTTTCCAAGGAATAGCCTCTCCTAGTAACATGACAAAAGTATGTGAGATGAAGTGTCATCATCCTTGCCTCCAGTGAGCAGTCTGGCTTCACTTTTCTCAAGACATGTATATTTGGGTTTTTTTTTTGGCAGCCCATAGGATATTCAGTACTCTTCACCAACACTACAATTCAAAGGCATCACTGCTTCTTCTGTTATTCTTATTCATTGGCCAGCTCTCAGATCCATAGCAAGTGACTAAAAAGGCCATGGCTTGAATCAGGTGCACTTTAGTCTTCAAACTAATATCACTGCTCCTCAGCTTTTTGGAGAAGTCCTTGCCAGTGCATTTACTCAATGCAATAGGACTCCTGATC